GGGGGGGGGAGTCTCTCAACCAAAATGAAACGGAAATAGCATTTTAGGGCCAGCAAGATTAAATAAGGACCGGGCCGCTGTTTGGGGCTGCGCTGGCCTGTGCCGGGCTGTGCCGGGCTGGCCGGGCTGCGCGCCGCGGTACAAGAGGACCGCAGATACGGCTTTCCACCGAAACGGCTTTCGTGGTGTCCCTCCCGGGACCGCGAGTACGGTGGCGCGGTGTTGGTGGTGGCGGGAGAGGGGGAGGAATCGTCCCCATTTGTTTTGTGTATAACGTCCCGCAAGAGAGGTTGCTCTGGTACCAAGTGGTGGTTGAGGGGAGGGGGCGGACGGCACCGAAAAGATACTTGAAACCTACTTCTGCAGGTGTAAACGGTCGCCAGAAACATTCATTTTTATTCTATTTGTCGTGAAGTCGATGTTTTCCCTCCTCACTGGTGCTGGTCCGCTGCCCCTGCCTGCCCTCTGCTGCCCGAGAAGCGAGACAACGACGGTCGCCTTTTGAAATAAGAGTTTCATTACGCCTGCCTGTAAACACTCGACCGCTACGCGAGCGCTACGGGCCAGACGGAACCAGACGCTTCAATTACTCATATTTCCTCGGGGTCTCGGCGGACGTAAAGTTAATCACACCGGAGGAAGCTGGAGGAGGAAGAGAGAGGCAGTATATTTTTTGTTGTTGTTCTTTATTTTCGTCGGAAGACGTCGTTCTTATTTTTCTCCGGATGGTTACTGGCTCTAGCTGAATTGTGTGTGGTTAGGTCTAAAAGAAAGCACTTGTTATTTTATTTCTTTTCACCTTTGTATTTAGTTTGAAACTTGGACGTGTTAGTTTACCCGATTCCACTTGGTGTGTTCCAGGGCGTGGTATTATCCCGCTTCACATCCCCCAGGACGCGTCGGGCCTGTGCACGCTGCAGACGGTGGTGGAGTGCGAGTCCGTGCCCGCGCCAGCTGCAGCGCCAGCGGGGCCCTGCCCGCTCACCGCCACCGCTGACCTCCGGATGCTGCCGCCCGTGCGCGACGTGATCGTGCGCGCGGACCGCGTGCACGCCGCTCCCGGCGACTCGGGTACGTATCGCAGGCGGTAACAGTGTAGAGCTCAGCGGAGAGGTCGATCGCCAGCCTGCTCAGCTTTTATTCATCCCCCACGCCACCGGGCGTCAATGTGTCGAGCTGCAGCATCCATTATTCGGTTGCAGTTGGCTTTTGGATCCTCGCGCTGAGCCACGCCATGACGCTGCCGTCGGACGTGCTGGCGAGCGTGTCGGTCCGCGACCCGGCCGGCACCAAGGTGGCCGTCTGGGAGGACGTGGCTCTGGACCAGGGCGTGCGCAGCTTCTCGTTCACGCTGTCGCCCGGCGCCGCGCTCGGTCGCTGGCGGCTCGAGGTGGCCGTCGAGGAGTCGTCGTTCGGCGCGGACCTGAACGTGTCGCTCTCCGGCCCGGACGAGTCCTGGAGCTGGGGCTGGGGGTGGTCTCTGGGGCGGCCGGCGGCCCCGCCGCTGCCCCAGCAGCCGACAGGCGCCGCGGCGTCGCCCGAGGTCGCCATGGCCGAGGAGCACTTCGTGGAGCTGCGCTTCGGCAACGGCATGCGCCGCGTGTACAAGCCCAACATGCCCTTCATCGGCAAGGTGGAGGCCGTGAGCTCGGAGCGGTCGGTGCGCGTGCGCATCAAGCTCTACGACAACACGACGGCCATCTACAGCCAGGACGTGGAGATCAGCAGCGGCGAGGCCACCTTCGTCGTGCCCTCCATCATGGCGGACAGCATGCGCATCACGATGCAGGCCGAGCTCGTGTCGGTGGAGGGCAAGGAGATCGAGTCGCACTACGTCCTCGCGCGTGAGGACATCTACCGCTGGAACTCGACGTCGCGCTGCTTCCTGCTCGTGGAGGGCGTCGAGAAGACGATGGAGGTCGGCGAGGAGGCGCGCGTGCGCGTGCTGTCCACGTGCCCGTGCCGCGCCGACCTGCACTACGTGGTGACGACGCAGGGCCACGTCACCTTCTGGAGCGACCGCCAGGGCAGCACCGTCGAGACGACGGACGCGGGTGGTGCCGTCTGCCAGACCAACATCTCGTAAGTCTTCGTGCCTCTTTTCACTGATCCCCAGTTGGGGCGATGTTTCGCCGTCGCCCTGGTGAGCAATGAACGTCCCTCGCCCCCC